TGGTGATTTTTTCTACCTCAAAGTACCTACTATAATAGTCAACTACAACTACATAGTCAGTACTGTTCCATGTGAACAGATCAGTGGCTATTACCTGCCAAGGTTGTTCTGGGATTGGGTGTGACGTCATAGGCTCTTTTGGGAGTGAGCTGCGTTGCTCAAGGCAGGTGCTGCAGGTCCCTACTAGTGTCTCTATCTGCTTGCCCATCCTTGGCCAGAACAGCACATCTCTTGCACGTTGTTTGCACTTTTCCATCCCTAAGTGTCCTGTGTGAATGCATTTCAGCCCTGAGTGAGTGCGGCACGATGATTTTCTCTCCTTTCAGTAGGATGCCATCTGTCTCTGATATCTCATCCCTATGATTCCAATACTCTGAGACTGCAGGTGGACATTTTTAGATTTTCTCGGGCCACCCTGCTTGGATCACCTGTCTCAGCACTGAGAGCTGCTCATCTTTGGCTGTAGCGGCTCTGATCTCTGCCATTTTGCGGTCGCTTACCGGAGCGTTGCTGATCACAGTGTGTATTTGGTAGTCCATGCCCTCACTGATGGAGCGGTCGTAACACTCAAGTGGCTTTCTGGATAGAGTGTCTGCGACAGGGATTTGTTTTCCTGGTTTGTGCTCGATAGTGATGTCATATCTCTGTAGCTGCAGTATCATGCGTTGCAGACGTGGTGGTGCAGCTGCTAAGGGCTTACGCATGATTGACTCAAGTGGCTTATGATCTGACTCGACGAACACCTGTCGTCCGTACAGGTATTGGTGAAACCGTCTACATCCAAAGAGCACTGCATATAGCTCCTTTTCGATCTGAGCATAGTTCTCTTCAGTTTCAGTCAGTGTCTTTGATGCGTATGCGACTGGTTTCTCTTCCTGGAGCAGGACAGCTCCTAAGCCGTGTTTGGAAGCATCGACTTGTAACTTCACATCCTTTGTGTGATCGAAGTAGGTGAGTACTGGGCCAGGCTCCTGTGTTAGGATGTCTTTTACTCGTTTAAAGGCTGCATCATGATTTGAGTCCCACACAAACTCACTGTTTTCCTTTAACAGTTGCCGGAGTGGAGCTGTTGCCTCTGACATTCTCGGGGCGAACCTGGAAAGGTAAGTGACCATGCCCAGTATGCTCTCCAACTCTGCCTTGCTTTGTGGGTTAGGCATTTCTTTGATGGCCTTAATCTTGTTCGGGTCAGGGCGGATGCCTTCTCTTGTCAGCTTGTGCCCAAAATAGCTTACCTCAGGCACACAGATTTTGCACTTGTCCTTATTCAGCTTTATGCCTTTTTCTCTGGTTCTCTCCAGCATGGCACGCAGGCTGGCGTCGTGCTCCTCTTTGGTGCGGCCGTAGACTATGATGTCATCTACGATGGCGGCAACGCCTGGAAGCCCCTCATAGGCCTCATCCACTCTCCTCTGGAACTCATCCTGTGCAGATATGATTCCAAAAGGCAGTCTCTTGAAACGGTACCTGCCGTAGATCGTGTTGAACGTGGTTAGCATAGATGAGTCGTGTGTGAGCTTTATATTCCCAGATCTGGCGTCTAGTACACTGAAATACTGTGCTCCAGCCAGTTTTGGTGTGACGTCATCTAGAGTAGGGAGTGGATAGTGGGGTCTTTGGATAGCTTTGTTCAGGGCGCGGGGGTCTAGGCATATTCTCAGCCTATTTCTTTTCGGCTTTTCCAACACTACTAGTGCATTAACCCATTCAGTTGGCTCTGTGACTTTTTGGATAACGTCCAGTTTTTCCATGTCGTCCAACTCATCCTTGAGCCGGTCACGCAGAGCATATGGGATGCGTCGAGGTGGACATACCACTGGTGGTACAGAGGGTTTGAGTTGGAAACTGCATTCTCCAGGAAACAGTCCGATGCCTTTAAACACATCAGCAAACTCTTCCATCATGGTTGTGTGCGTTATCGGCTTTGCATCAACTACATGTATCATTTTGACTAGGTTTAAATCTAGACATGCTCTTAAGCCTAACAGAGGTAGAGCATTTGTATGGACTATGTCAAAACCTACCATGGCTGTTTTCTCACCATGTTTACATGTCAGTCTACATGTTCCTTCTGCTTTTATCCTGTGCCCACCATAATCGGAGAGTTTGCTTGATGGGGGGCCTAGTATTACACTTCCATATATCTTGCGGAATGTGTCTGCTGGTATAATACTAGTCTGAGCACCAGTGTCCATTTTAAACTTCAGTTTGTTCCTCGCTTTTCCTATTTCTACTTCTGCATATGCCTGTTCTCTATCTGTGTTTTCATGCTCTTTTATGATAGCATCAATATAGGGTTCTTCTAGTGACTGTTCTGCACTGTTTGAGATGGTATGCAATTTTCTGGGATTATATCTCGTCTGTGGCTGCTGTGTTTGTGACCTACACACTTTAGCAAAGTGGTTGGGCTTCTTGCATTTGCTGCATTGGCGACCCTTTGCTGGACATTCCTCAGTGCGACTGTGCTCCCTTCCGCATGCTCCACATTCCTTGCTCCTCACGGTGCTGTTACGATCATTCCATGTTGTCTTGTGCCCACGGGATGCTTGGTCTGCTCTAAAAGGTTTTCTGCTAACCGCGTGAGCAGAGCGACTGTCGTGGCTAGCAGCAGGGGTTAGCATTGTCTTTAGCTGCTGCTGTGATAGCTCATGTGAACGTGCAATGTCAATGGCTTTCTCTAGCGTCAAGTCTGGACCGTGACATACAGTAGCAGTTTTTCGCGCACTCTTTGTGAGTTTGTAGCAAAGACAATCCTGTCTCTTATCATTTCCTCACTGTTTGGGTAGTTGCAGTCTTTACTTAGCAATTTTAGCTCCGTTACAAACTGGTCAAAACTCTCACTGTCTCCTTGGATCTTTTCATGAAATTTATAGCGCACAAATATGGGATTTGCTTTCGGAGTTACATAAGCTTCAAAAGCGTCATAGTACGTTTTTAGTACCTTACTTTGGTCTTCTGTGAGAGTCCATGTATAAAAAACATCTCTGCCTTTTCCCCCAATCCATAGGAGTAGATAGCTACATTTTTCCTCCTCGTCTTTAGCATGTAGCGGGCCGGAAAACATTAGCTGCACATGCTGCACATCCCACTTCTGACACCATGTAATATTCTGTTCTATGGACATGTAAGTGTCTACATAAACAGATGAAGCGGACCACTTCTTTCATTCCGAGTGTCCATCTTTTATTCCACTGGCGCGTAATGCACACATACCTTACGTCACCCACGTGATCTCTGTAATCAAAGATCTTGTATTCACCAAGATGTTACAAAGAGGAGACGAAATAGGGAAAGAAAGGTGAAAGTATAAAAGAAAACATTGAAAAAAGAAAAACATAAGAGATATGAATAAGATAAATAAAGGGATATGTGTGAAAGAGATTAAACAAAATACAATTGAATGATTGGGGAGATGGGGAGATTAGATCATTTGGAGGCAAGAACAGAGGAGAAAAAAAGGCAAGGAAGAGGAAAGGATGTCATAAACCGTGAGGAAGATGAGGGGAGAGGAAGAGAGAGGAGATGAAACGAGAGCTAAGAGGCAAACGAAGAAGATCGGGAGTGAAAGGAGGAGAAGAGTGGGAGAGAGGAACTAAAAGAGACATGGAGTGAGGAAGGGAAAGGTGGGAGACATGGAGATTAAAGGGAGAGAAAGCAAGAAGGAGCGATGCAGGATAACTGGTGATGAATAATTGCTGGTGAGAACACAGACGCTCGCCGACACTCAGCTGCCGCCGCTTAGCTCGAGGGCTCGGAACATCAACAGCAGCATTAAAAATAGCAGCGATTATTTGAAAACAGGCCTGGGGAAAAGTGTATTTACAAATAATAACACATTTGTTTCATCCGACTGCGAGCTGCAGACGAGTGTGCTGGTGTGTCACAATGTGGCAATAATACAACGTGGAAAAACGTCACTTTTGATCTAAAGTGAGACATCATGACTCCCATTGAGCAGATTAACCTGCTTTAGTTACTTAAAAATATGATTTCTAGACAATTTCCACAAGTATCGCAACCATTTTATTTGACTGAACAGAGTTGAATGTCTTTCAAACTTACGGTCCTTAGAGGTTGGATATATGGAGATGAGTCCAGATGTGAACTCATACCACATATCAAATGGAGAGTAACATATTACTGAAATCCAGTTGCTGTGGATATCTTTACGTTTATGACCGTCAGATGATTGAAGTCATGTTATTGTGGTGGCCCTGACTATCTTTCCCCTATATGTTCCCGAGAGGATAAGAATGAATGTGTAGTTTTACCGGTTTTTATTGTAAACCAAACATTTTTTTCTCCCAAGGTGACACTATAGATCAACATTCAAGGGATCATCAAAGTGATTGGGATACACCCTCTATGGACCATGAATGTAAAACATGTTATGGCAATCCATTCAATATTTGTCAAATATTACATTATTTTTAATTTAATTAAAAACCTACACTGCCATTCCTGACCTTAAATTGTCAAACTTATAAGTAAAACAATTATACAAATGTGGTTGTAGATATTCAGGGTCCCCAGAGGATTGATGTGTTTGGTGTTAATGTATTTAGTAATATGCACTAACCAGATCACATAAAAAATCTGATATGTTCTGTTCACTTAACATTTTGGACACCCCATTACATTTTAATCTGCTGCCAAACTCAAACCAAATAAAAACGTTTTATTGAAACAGATTGCTATGAAATGTTACGAGGATCATTATGCTCCTCAGTGGATTTTTAAGACTCCCTGAACTCCGTCCAATGTTACACATCATGATGTGAACACAGCAGCCTCCAGGAGCTGAACAGGCTGGTTTTTGTCGTGCCACCATCAAAGAAAAGCTTTCAGATGCTACTGTACTTACTTTAAAGACATCAAACCAAAACATTTGCATATTTTGAGGAACCCACTCCTCTTGCGATGCAGGGAAATCCAAAGAAGCACAACAAGAAATGTTTAAAATTGGGTACAATGTAGTTATCAAGAAAAACAGCCATGGGTGGATTTTCACATTTAATAATAGACAAAAATGTTCTGTCATTCTTTTATGTACATCAGTAATTACAAGTTCAGTATGCTATTATCCTCAAGTTTGACATGTAGTTTAATCAGCTCCTAATGCTTGCTCATCTTTACACTGCTGTCTTACATACCAAATATGCTATGTACTGCAGTCACATTTATAAAAGCCTAGAGGTTTGCCATAAATGATTTTTCCAAAACCATTCAACAAATTTCATTCACAATACTTTCTCATTATTTACAAAAAACAGCTAAATTATACATATTAACAAACTACTTCCTCAGTATATATAATGCCGCTATACAAAGAGACAGAAAGAAAGAGAGGGCAATGTCACATTTTACAGTGACCTTATTCCAATGTTTTAACCTGTGCATTAAAGCATTTCAAATACATATAAATGCTGCCAGTGTTTGGGGAAACAAACTCTACTTGTATTGTAAATATTAGGAAGATTTCCAGTAAGTAATCACACTTTATAAATATGTATTTTCTGTACATCTATCAGTTCATACACTGATTAATAAGCTGAAATAAGGCCACTGTAAAGTCACCCGATAAAGCTTGAGGCTTGGAAAGCGGGGAACAACTCAAAACTCATTTGAATAGTTGTGGGGACCTTGGCTCGATGGCAGACGGGCTTCTTTCACTCGCTCTTAGATATTTTGAGCAGAGCTTCGCAGTTGGGCAGCTCTAATGGTGGCAATAAGTAATCATCTGGAAAATGTGAACTTTAGGACCCAGGAATCCTCTGTAATGCAACATCAAGTTCATTTTTACCAACAGGGCTTTGGAGCGTTAAACCAAACGAAGAAAGTAAGAAAATGTAACCTAATTGAGCCTGAAAAAAAGGTTTGTATTGTGCTCTTAGCTTTTAAATCACTTCTATGGAGTATCAGAAGGAAAGGCCTCTACATTGCAGCTGCAGTTGAAGGAAAGTAATGCATTTTTAGATAAAAACATGGAATCTAAACACCGGACACACCCACACAGGAATTTTCAGTTATGCCGTTTTTCTGATGACCTCAAAAGAGCTGAACTATGATCATTCAAAGTCATCCTGCCCACGCAGTTTTCCAGACCCCAACATTGCAAATTAAAAGCCATTGATCATGTGTTGAAGATAGGGCTGGGCTATTACTCTCATGCAGCCTCTAAACCAGGGAAAGACACTTGCGATGTTGCGAAATGGCGAGAAACTAAAGCTTTACGAGAAAGGAAATGAGACCTAAAGGATACATACAATGCAATGCATGAGCAGTAAACAGTCAAATAAACCAAACTAACGACAAAGATGTAGTGAAAAGCAACACAAATATAAAGGGCCACACACACAACTTGATTTCTGTCTCGTCACCAGGACGAAAACGCAGGCTGAGAGGGTTTTGCAAAAGTCTGGATTTGAGGGAGAAAATAGGACAGAATATTCATCATTATCAAGGTAAATGTGACAAAATCAGGTCGTACTGTCCAGCTTTACCACAAGAGGTCTCATTCAGTCCCGCCTGAGCAGGTGCAACAAAACTCACAATGAGGGAGCTGTCAATCAAGCAGATGCCCGCATATCTGACGTGCAATCAGCCCAAAATAAACGAAAGCGCATGTGTGGGAGGACCAGGGGTCAGAGGTCTTAAATTACTGTTGAAACTGCAACTTTTTTAATATTCTTACTCACTTTGAATGCTGTGAGGCTTGGCAGACATGTCAAAGAACTCAGTGTGGGGCTGCCGACAGAAGACTTGGGTCAAATAGTATTTACAGACAATATAGTTTGTTTTTCATCATTCTGTTAACTCTGTGGAAATAATCTCAAATTAAAGGGACAAACAAAGAGGAATGTGTAGACACTATCAGACCCAGAATCTGTTTGTCTGAACCATCAAGCAGAAAGAGATCCTGGAGTGTGACCTCCATCTTCCTTTCTGACATCTTTAACAAGGCAAACCAGCTCTAATGAGTTCTGACCTTTGACCTCTGGGCTCCTGGGGCTGACAAAGCGAGCTTACCTTAGTGGCACACATATTCCATATACATTCATTAAGGTAAGAACAAAAAAAAGGAGGGGAAAAGAAACACAATCTTCTTTCTTTGTGAAATTATTATCACAGAACATTTGAGTCCGCTGTAAAACAGATCTGAAGAGTTTCTTTGCAAAATGAAATCTCAGTGTGTGAAACTAAATAAAACTTGCAACAGGAGATGACAGCAGTGTCGCAGTTACCGGTGAATGCAATAATGGGATTTTTTTAAATGGAAAGAGAACATTAGTTTATTATATATATATTCCTACAGAAAACACATATATATGAGATGTTGTCTGATATCTGCTCCTGTTAAAGTAAGAGTGAAACATGTACACTTCAGGTCCGTGGGTTATGTTCCCTTGGCTCTGCTCAGTCATATTTCTACTCCAAATTAATTATTGCTTTTTTTAAAGCTGCTTGGAGCCCCACATTATTGTTTTCTAAATCTGGGCATCCCCCCTAAATAAAGCCCAGCAAGGTAACATTACAAATAAGGAAGAAATAAGAATAACTGAATCATGGGATTATGTGGATGAATGTGGCACCAGTCTGCCCAGGCTGAAGTATACTGTTGCCTTCTTTGAGCCACAGATCTTTGAACATGCTAAAATTGTCCCTCCCAAGAAGATTTTTGGAATTAAATAGCACCTCCAAACTATAGTTGGTTACCTGCCAAACACATTGGTTGTCTAGACAAAAAAAAGCTGCAAATTGAGAGGTAGAAGAGAGAAGAAGACTCCTGACTGAACTAATATTCTTAATTAATGAAGCTTTTGTCTTGCAATTTGTGATCACATGGACACACACAGCGGATGGTTGATTGTTATTTCCCTACATTGAGTCTTTGCAGAAGCAACTGTTAAGCTTTAACAAAGCATCATGGCTAAACGAGGATTCTCCAGTGGAGATAAGAGCGGAAAACGCCCTGATTGATAATGAAGAGTAGAAGTGAAGTGCTCTGCCTCCAGTGTGAACAGAGTGGGCTCCTAAGCCCTCGCTGGGGTCTCTGAGAGGAGCTGTGAGCACACCCAGCTCTCTATAATTACAGAATGTCAACTTTGTTCATGTTTTCTGCTCTGACCTTTTCCCAGTGCTAAAAGTGTGCCCTTTAAGCAGGCGCGGCGGAGCAGTTCTAGTATGCTGAACACCTGTGAGGGCCGGGATTTAAATACAACGCTATTATTTAGGGCGAATGCAAGTTATTAAAATTGTTCTATTACTGTACTTCTCTGAGGGCGGGAAGTTAATAACTTTGTGAGGCAGCAGGAAACATATTTTCTATATCAGTAAATGCCTCTGCCTTCAGTCAAAGACCTGCAGGTGTTATAGTATATATTGTAACTTATATTTTGCGAAGATTACCATAACAAGCCAATTAAAGTCTGCTCTCATATTCAGCGCTGAAGGAGAAATGATAGAAAGGCAATAAAGGCAGATCTGACACCCTGATGCTCTTACCAAACTGAAAATACTCGTGACATTTCAAAAAAGCTCCATTTTAAACTTGAGTTTCTTGTTCTTTTTGTGTCTCTCTCGTCTTGTTTTTCTTTATGTTTTTCCTCATTTCCCCAAGTTGACAAAAGAAGTAATGTTTCTTTACAAATGGACCAGTGATTTCAGATAATAAAGACTGTTGAAAGAGCAGAAAGAAAAAGGAAAGACAATTGTAAAAATGGGGCCTGCTTCACATAAGAGGAACATCCAAAAGACCGGGCGACACTTTCAAGATGCAATTGTTAGAAAAATCATTGAATGCTATTATTTCCCGTCTTGTTTTTTAAAATCACAAATGTCTTCCTTGAGATGTGGCCAATTTGAAGGTACAGTAGCATTGAACAAAGGTGCACATGTATAGCTCTGCTAGTATGTGTGTGTGCTTAACGTTCAGAGTGTACATGTTGGCATTCAAAGCTCCAATATGAACACAGACCCCAGTGAGTCGGGGGCTAATTGGGCAGCTGTAGATAGCTCAGGGACAGGGGACAATCGTTATCGAACGGCAGGGGAAGAGCAGGGGGGGGGGGGGGGGGGGACGGACATGTACTGCATCTGCGTTCAAGGAAGCAGCAATTAGATGCTATGGATTTCTTAGGCAACGATCACAGAGGATGCTGAACTGTTGCCAGGCTCCCTTCACGCAGATCAGCCTAATCACTGCAGTCCATCGGAGCCAGAGGATCTATGGGAAGCCTGTTTCACATGAGCTCCAGTCGCTGCACTGCCAAAGGGACAATGGCTACCCACCGGGAGGGGGGATTTCTCACCACCAACTGTTTGGTTGGGTGTGTTAGAGCCCTGCGTGTGCACCTGTGTGTGCAGGGCCATTGGCTTTCACTGCAACCGGTCGAGTAATTAGCTGGAAAGGTTTCAATCGGTGCTGGCTTACGATGCAGCCAGCCAGCGTGGAAGAGATGTAGCTGTGGTCTTGTTCTGTACCCGGCCTCGCTGCCAGAGAGCTGAAGGTGGGAAGGTGGTTGGTTGGTTGGTTTGCAGCCAGATGGCCACAGACTGGGAGAGAGACGGAGCCTGAGACAGGCCACAGAGAAGAAAGCAGGCAGAAGACACAGAGGCTCATTAGAAATGTCACAGACTCTTTAGATGGGCTTTGGCTGCACGGCCATGCTGAGCTGCAACATGACAGCAGGCGACAATGGGCTACAAATGGGTACAAGGGCCTGTTAAGTTGTTTTCTATAGTGTGTGTGTTTGTGTGTGTGTGTGTGTTTCGTGTGTGCATGCGCAGCTAGAAGGGTCCAGTTTGTTCCTGAATCAAAAATCAAACAATACAAAACAACAAATAATAAGTTAAGGAAAACAAAAATAAAGAGGGATGCAAAGTCTCTGGGTTTTTCAGAAACTACGAGACGAGGATCTCTTCTAGCAGCAAGCCGCGGCCGCCTCGAGTCCGACGACGAGGCGGTGTCGACAAATGTGAAAACTTTTCATTTTGAGGGGCGGGGTGAAGTCAGCACCCGCTCTGTCCCTCCCTCCTGCTCCAGTTTCTGTCTTTTAGTCCACAGGGACCCATAGTTCCTGTAGGAGGAGAGGGAGGGGAAGCCCGCTGAGGCTCCAGTCCGCCAAACCACTCGGCCCCTCACCAAAATATCCTGCGTCCCAGCATGCACCTCTGAGTCTCTAAAGAGGGAGCCGAAGCGGGGGCTGATGGGAGAGCTGTGGGTGGTGGGGGGTAGAGGAGTGACAGCGGGGTCAGATGCAGGTGGAGGGCTGGGCGGTGGGCTGCTGCTTGCGGTTTCTCAGACCTCCAGACTTCTCCTTGAAGCCCACACACATCTGCTGAGAGACGTCCACCAGCGCACTCGCCACTGCCAGACCTGCACAGAAACATCACAACACGAGTGTTAGGAAAACATCACTCGTCACCGGCTCGAGCTTCAATATCAGGATACATGTATTTATTATCCTTGCAAGAATGGAAGTAGTCATCACATACAGAGCTGCGTGGGACAAATAGTTTCCTGAATAGTGTCCTTGACATGTTGATATACAAGAGAGTGTTACAGTCACAACATGCAGAATACCGGTTCAAAGCAGTATTCAATGTTTAGTTCAGATTAGCTAAGGCCTGCGTAAGCAATAAACATGACAGCCTATCTCCATAGAGGCTGAATCATCATGTTAATCACATAGTTCTCATATGCCTAAAACAGTCCTGACGCTCTTCCAGCTAATCATACATCCTGTTACGTACACAGCTACATAGGGCCTTTATCAGCTGCTACTCTGATATTAGAAGAGTACATTCAGTATTTTGCCAACGATGAGCTAAAGATCATGCAACACATTTTTAACTCTGATCAAACTGAGCTGAGGGGGTGTCACTGTTTCAAACTTTGTTCGAGTTCGAATGAATGGCTCTTAGATAACAAGCTTTTTAATTAATGTGGGTGAAACCGAGTCAATCCTGTTAGGGAGTTCAGTGAAATCTCAAGTGACTCAAATGTAGGATTAATATTGGAAGAGTCACACTCCTGTGAATATATTGCTGGTAAAATGTTATCTAAGGGTGCCATGAAAATGAAGTTCCTCTGACTTTTCTGTCAAACTTCCCTGGTACACACAGGTCCATTGTCTTTCCCATTATGCATGTTCCGTTTGGTACAGGGGTTTGCCAGTTAATCAAGCTGCAAGGGATGCAATAATATGACTCATTATCTAATAACCATTTTAACTGCTGTTAGTAATGATGAATTATTAAAAAATATCAATATTGGTAGAACAATTACAAATTAAATTCAGATTTATTTTTTCAATATACAGTAGGTTAACTTAACACTGCAATAATGGCACTGAAACTGTATTTATTTAATATTATAATTCTTGACTTTTTAATTCCTTTTAAAATTGTGCTTTATTTTCCTTCTTATGAAATTCAAATTGCTTTTTTTTTGGTGTTTAAAAGATACTTAATAAATATACAGTACTTGCCTAGTCTACAGTAATACCACTTCCCCTACTTTCTTTATGCAAAGCAACAGTAGACAAATACAAAAGTTAAATTGTAGCATGAATACTCTGTCACTTTTCCAATACACACACTGATATACTTTTTCTAATCAGTGTGTAGTGGAACATTGGGACACACACACACACACCTCTCATTACCACATACAAAGCTGGTGAGATCATATACTGGCAGTGGAGGCAATCAGTTACTTACAGCACACTTCATTAGCATGTATTAATATTCTCTGAGCCATGAAATTCCAATAAACTCTATTCATCTCCAATAATGGATGCATTTCCCCCCGATCAACAACACATGGCCTACAGCGAAATATATAAATTCCCCAGGGAGGAGTTGCACTTTTCCTTTGAAATCACACGTCAGAGTCTTCAGTGAAACAGGCTGCAACTATTATTTTGTTTACATCTGAAAGTAAGACGGTTCAAAGCACTTAAATGACGCTCCGATGCCAATCAGAGATAATCTACAGCGCTGACCTCCTCTTGGCTGTTTGGAGAGTCAGGAAGGCGGCCATTTTGGAATTGCTCAACTGTAAACAGATGTGCTGTGAGGTTGTGACAGACGAGGATTCAAGAGAGACACGGCCAGATGGGAAACAAGTTAAAAGCATTATAACAGGAGACCCCCGCGAGCATGAGGAGGTGGTAGGAACACGACTAACATGGTCTCGACAAAAAGATGCCGGAGGGAAAGCTCCGCAGAGAGACGATTTGTTTTTACAAAAGGTGGTAATTAATAAGAGCCCGGGGCACGCTGATGGTCGGGGGACTGCAACTGTGGGAGGCAAAAAGGCTATAAAACACAGAAGGGGGGAAAATGACAAAAGGAATCAATTTCTTGTTTTGGGTCCTTGAAGAAGACAGAAAAAATAAGTTGTAAGAAAAGGCAAGTGAAGTGCTTAATCCTGGGTCCTATCAGACTGTCAGATAAGTGAAACAGATGAAGGACGGATGGGAATGTAAAGAGAGGAAGTCACACGGCAAAGGATGAAAAGGGCTCAATCCTCAGTGTTATCAGACAGGAGGAGGAAGAGAAATAAGGGGGAGAGCACAGAGAAATGCAAGACAAGACACTTGAATGCACTTTAAAACCAGACTTCACAGACAGGGAGGAGAAGAGGAGAAACAAAATCAAGAAGAGAGGGAAAGAGTGCTTCGAAGCATAGAGACAGAAGACAAGATGCAGCAGACAAAGGGATGATGACGGGAGGAAAGAGGGGACGACAACAAACAGGCTGCGGACGTCATTTTATCACAAAGCACTGAAGGACAGGACGAGGGAACCAGAGAGATGAGGAGAGATGTGAATGTGAGTCTTTAAAGTCAATACATCCATGTCACAGTAATCGTGCAACCATGACATTATTACTTTAAACAAATAAGACCATGGTCAACAGATTGTGTCACTGTCTCCAAACATATTCCATAATCCCCAACATTTCCTTGTTTTACTGAGTTATTTTTAACGCTTATTGTTTATGTAAGAGGATTTCACAGTCTGGGAAACAAAAATTACATTTTGTTCCACTGGAAATAACAAATGTTTGCTTTTAATGAGGAATATGTGTGTCAGACAGCAATGCAGAGATACATTCTGCGACATGAATGCTGTGTCTGAATTGAATACAGTGGAGAGACGAATACTTATTCTCAGATATTATATGTAAGACCATGTGCCTTCTTTATGCATGGCTGAATTAATCAGTTGGCCCTGGGGCAGAAATAGGCGATGGGGCCCTCTGACCTCCACCACTCCCGAGTGGATGGAGCACGCAGCCTTCAAGCTCCCATTAAGTACAGGCTGCAGTACTCCTGTACTCCCTGGGCCCAGGTTTACTGTGTGTCAATTAGTTCACTTTCTTTAAGAATATGCGCAACGTGAGCTCAAAATATATAATATAACACATGTCTTAGGACTGGATTTTGACACAGAGACCCTCTGCAACAACAGATAATAGATTTGCTCATTAGTTTATTGGAAATAAGTTATTTAGAATTAAAAAAATGTATTGATAAAATGGCTCATTCGTTAAAGGGGCCCTGTTTCAGGTTTCACATGTCTCCATGATTTATTGCTCAAAAAGCTCTTTATTTTTCTCATTCTGCCTGTGCTGCAGCAACTCTTTTCACCCTCTGTCTGAAACCAGAGCCCAGTCCGCTCTGATTGGTTAGCTGGTCGGCTCTGTTGTGATTGGTCAACTGCTTAGAGATGTCCCGCCCGTTAGCCTATCACGTACAATGTGTTGGAGCGCTAGCAAATAAAATGCTTGTGTTACATAGTGATGTTACTTGGTTACGGAAGTAAATGAAGGAGTCCAAATTAAGGAAAGGGCAATATATATCGTCTTAGATTTTGGATATTGTTAAGTCTTAAGTGTTGTTTTGTTCCTGGTTTAAACGGTTGAATTACAGTAAAGTGATGTATTTTTCTGAATATAATAGACTGTTACATTATTTCCTTTAGCTGCTTCGTTTATATCCATATTACTGATGATGATTTATCAAAATTCTCATTGTGTTAATATTTTGTGAAAGCATCAACTTCACAATATGTCAATTTGTCAAATATGTCAAAATGTGATGGATGATTTCCTTCACATTGCCCTGTCCGACTGCAAATATCATAAATGTAGATCTGTTGGCAAGTGGCTCACTTCGCATGGTTTACAGACTAGCATGAACTCAGTTGTCTTCATCTGAAACCCATGTTTTTGTTACTGGTTTGACCTTAAATTAGTTCTGCAGTACACACTTCTTTTCCCTGCTGAACAGCTCTCCAGAGAATATCAATCTTCCAATTCTGCTCTCACAAGGTAACTGCGATGAAAAGAAAATGAAGCTTCTCCGAAACAATGAATACGCCCCCTGCAATAACAAGAACAAGAAACAGAGACAAGTTCCTGTCATCTTCAACTCTCTCTGAGATCCCTCATTGTTAAGCCACAATATGTGATGACACAACACAGGTTGATATTGTTTATGTCTCTTTTATCAGGTGTGAAAAAGTTATTTGATTGATGGACTGCAGCAAGAAATTATTGTTTACCCGGCTAAGAGGTGTCGCTTAAAAGCCAAATATATAATCACATTGAATTATATTTCTAGACGTTTGTCAGACAGCATAAACAGATTAATCTGTCAACAACTTATCACCAGGTGATGTCTGCAACACATCATTTTGTTGTTCAGGAGGAAGAAAAGGATTGAGCATTGCTGTTGTTCGGGTGTTTTAGTGAAGACTTTACGGAAAGGACCTGAAATCTCTAATATGGACAGAAATCATGTGAAGATGTCTAAGTGTTTTCAGTTTTATCACGAACCTTTGGACACGTTGAAAACTTCTGTAGGAAGGATAACATTAAATAAATAAAGCAGAATAAAAACCAGGTAAAAGCACTTCATCAGATGGAGGAAGGAAGGTGGATGACAGAACAACAATCAAACAAAGATGGATGACGTGAAGGAAAGAAATATAAGCCAAGTATTACCAGACTGTCCTGGAGGAGGGATGCCGCCGGTGCCTCTGGGTAACCGCACAAAGATGGAGAGCACAGCAGCTTTGTTTCCAAAGCAAGGCTCGAGGGCGATGGGCTTTGGGACGGACTGCGGAAAGAAAAAGAAGAACGAAATTACACATCACAAGCCTCCCTAACCCTGGTGAACACACACCATTTGCAGAGGCACGGATAACCGAGGCTTTGCTGATACTGTTCTTGTTTGTGTCAGCAACATGCACAGCAACCAGAAAAACACAACTGGAGAAACAGAGACTGATCTGCAGCCATACATTGGATTCTCCTCTCCCGAAATCCCCCTACTGTGCAGAAATTCATGACAATGGCGCCTGTGAGCAGCGTGGGCCGTGGCTGGATATCAAGTGGCTGCCCTGGGAGCGCAGATTTGTGTCGGCGGTGCTGTCGCTGCAGGCTGCCCGACTCCTGACGCTCTGATACCAAGGCCTCCTGTTTACCAGCAACTCATCCGTATGTGGGGCTGAGCTTTCCCTGTAAACACTGCTGCTGCTCGCCTGGTACAACATTCATGGAGATACCTCGATACAGGATATGGATATGAAGGGCACCGACACCTCAACTGCATACAGATAGCTCGGCATCTATCTATATCAGGGGTCTCAAACTCAAGGCCCGGGGGCCAAATCCAACCCGCGACTTCATTTTATGTGGCCCAAGAGCTTGCAAATAATATAATACGTTTATAATATGCCCATAAACTACATGTCCCACAATGCATCTCGTTTTGTGACATGCACACTGACGAGACTTGCAATTATTTGCCTTGGACTTCTGCTTTCAGACGTAGTTAATTACTAAGTTATTATCCTATCTGATAATAATCCAATTCAGAGGCAATAATGTAATACAATACATTATTTTATATATATATTATATATTTATTTTATATAGTTACAACCGGCCCTTTGAGTGCAACCTTTATGCGAATGTGGCCCATGATGAAATTGAGTTTGGCACCCCTGATCTATAGGGATGCACGATATTGTTTTTTTGAAACCGATACCGATACCGATAACTTCCTGCTTCTCAAGACCGATACCACAACATTTTTTACGCCACTAATTATTTTAACGCGATTAACGCATGTGTATTTTTTTCCTTGGCCGCCCCGTAGTTTCAGAGCGTATCGAGTTTAAAATACCATCTACAAGCTGATGCTGACAGCCCCGCTCCTGCCGCCCGCTTGTGGCAGACCACACTTCCACGCTCACCGGCAGGCACCGACTGGCCATCTGGAGGACCGGGAGGGTGTGTGTATGTGTGGCCCGAGCGAGCGAGAGAGAGACCTTACGTGCATTGTTGTTGTTAGCATCTGGTGCTAGCTAGCTGCGCTAACGGATATAAGGAGCTGTTTAAATGAAAACAGAGGAGGGACATTTCGCCACAACTGCGCCGAGCACTTGACTTTATGCAGGAAGCCAGACAGTGGGACAGTGGGATAGTGTGCAACATGATTGCAGCGTCCAGGCAGCTCCGGTTCGAGCATATGCCTTGAGTTGCACATAGCTCCAACGCCCATACCAGCGACGACATGTTTGTTTACTGTACTGGCTTCACGGCCGCACACCATTTACGTCACAGCCAGGCATGAGTTAGGGAGCGCTGGATTTGTGAAGAACTCCCCTCTTCCTAAACCACTAATACCACAGTACTGGCAAAACGGGAGGAGCCGAGTGAAAAACAAGCGCCTCTCATCCCAATCCACCCACACCGCAGTATTTTTTTCTTTTTTTTTACCCAAAAAATATATTGTATATTATCGGGGCTATTAATACTGGTATCGGGATGACGTCACAATTCCTATTATCGGGCCGATAATTATCGAGCATCCCTACTGATCTATATCATCTATTATCTGCAGATCTATCTGTCTGTCTGTTTGTCTGTCCGTCTAACTAGCTATAGATATGTCTGATGTTGGCTTGTCTCTCTATCTATCTACATATTTATCTATCTATCCATCTATTTATTTACAGGTCTACCCTTCATGTCTATCTGCTTATTTGTTCATTTGTCTATCTATTCATCCATCAATATATCTATCTGTTTTGAAATCTGAGCCGGACAGGAAACTGGGCCATGGCACGGTTTCAGACAAACACACACAAAAAGTGCAATCCCTTCCTTTGCCGGTCTTTATTTTCTGGAGAGTCGAGCTTAAAGCCCCAAGAGGCAATGCCGCAGGAGTGTGACACACACACACACACATTACTCACACCGCAACACACAGCTATTCACACTGACGCAACTGTATAGACACCCATCTTTCACCTTTTCACACACACTGCTGTTCTCCTTCTCTTCCACACACACACACACACACACACACACACACACACACACACACACACACACACACACACACACACACACACACACACACACACACACACACACACACACACACACCACACACACACACACACACACACACACACACACACACACACACACACACACACACACACACACACACACACACACACACACACACACACACACACACACACACACACACACACACACACACACACACACACACACACACACAGTGTAATCGTACACATGGGAAGCGGGGCAGTAATGATATTCAGGCTTTGACCCATTTTACACAATTATTCTCTGCTCCGTCTCTCTGAGGCGTACCTTTCATACCAGCAGGATACGCAGGCTGACACAGGTAGCTGGGGAAGTGGCACAAAGTCCGGGTGGGTGGGTGGGTGTGTGTGTTCAGTGTGATTTTGTAGAACAGGGGGAATTTGGTATTTGTGCCTCTGCAGATGTGTGTCTTGCTGTTTATAGCACATGTGTAACTGTGATGTGTTCAGGGACGATCTGACAGACACTTTATCCTCTGTTATTTGCACTGTAGATAATAAACCCTTTCAGACATGCCCTTCACTCGGTAAATGTGCAGGTAATGTCTGCTTTACGTATGAATAAGCCCTAGAATCATTTTTCCTGTAAAAGCCACCAGTGCAATCTTACTGGGGTTTGGAAATTTTCACATTTCTATAGCACTCCCTGTCTTATAGAAATGTCTAGCTGTGCTTTCAAAGGCTGCAATTATGGTCCTCAGAAGACACACTAACGTCTTTGTACACCGAAAGTAAACATGTTTAAAGAAACATTCATGAAAAGGCCTATGAAAGGGAAAGTATCTCTAAATGCAACCTGGAGGAATTTGTACTGGCCTTTAAGAACATTGCAATTCATTTGATATTTAATTATCACCTCACACAAAAACGACTTTAATTAAGCAATTTATTTAACTTTTTTAAGCTATTTCTCTTATGTCAGTTTATTTATTTTATACCTATTCTGCTGCATGCAATTGGAAAATAAAGAGAGAGAAGATGTCAAACCTAGGAAAGAAACACAAGTAATCATCCGTTTGCCTTCATTTTCTCATTTCATCAACGGCAACTGCTAAACGTGTGAATATCCATCATAAAGCTTTAAGCCCCTGTCACACTGTCCCGAAATGTACACACGAATATTGAATTGTGAATTTCGCACGAAGATGGCCCGAACCACACACGAAGGCAACATTTACATTACATTTAAGACATACAACCGCAACAAAAGTAACACAAACAATTATGTTAAAGTACTATGATACTGTACTGATATTTTCAGACTGCCGGAGCCTGAGAAACTCCACCGGCGGTCATACGATGGCTTAGATGCCCTCACGAATGGCCCGATGTTGCTACGATCACAGCCGAATTTGAACATTTCCTTTATCGTGTGTCCATCGGGTGTCAATTTCGGGACAGTGTGACAGGGGCTTTACATACAGCATGTGAGGATTTAAAGAAATATCTGAGTCATAAGCTAACCTCATCATTGCTTGGACTTTGTTAAACTAAATACAGTGAACAGAATTGTATGTCTGATAAGAACATGTATTAGGTATAATTACACTTGGAAAGCTGCGGCTCCACTTTCTCTTTGTAATTGTCAAATAAAAGCTGTTAAAGGAACAATTCTGTCAATAGTGTTTTTATGAAATCCCAGAAGCCAATTATTGTAAAAGATGACAAAGGTGGCACAAGAACACGTCTTCTATGTCTGAAGGGGCTTACAGGGTGTTTGTGTATTGTCTGAATGTGTGGATATTTTTCTATGCAGCTGAATAATTACCATGTCCATGTCTGTTTGGACATAAAAGGTTATTAGGAGGTTGTGTTTTTGTGTGCATGCCTCTGAGCTTGCAGTAATGTTCATCTGCGTTGATCCTGCACTCACACGCATGCAGCGTTACAGCCCCCCCCCCCCCGGTAACTGACAGGGGGAAGAGTTCAGCAGCAGATAAATCGCCTGCTGGAAACACTGCAGTCTAACCAGCAGCATCATCCACAACACGCAGACAATAACAAATACTCAGACATGTTTGGATACCAGCGCTACAGTATGTGCAGAACCTCAACTCTGACACGCTGTATTTCTGACAATAAATCATTAAAACAATGCCATGACTTTGAGGAACGATCGTGAATAATGTCAACAGACAAAGAAAAGGGGTCACTGCTTTGTTTTACAACCTCTCCACCTTCAGCTCGCTCTTTCTTTCTCTCGTCACATCACGTTTATTTAAACACCTCAAAATGAAGACAATTTTGTCCCAAAGTGCTTTACAGTCTACAGATTCAGACACACTTGTGAAACCTTATCAAAGAAAAACAGAGCTCCTTCTATTACATATGTTTCATAAAATAAATGTACTTCCCCTGCCTTTACTCCGCTTCATTTGTGCTTCAAAAATGGCTTTCTTGAGCCTTCCTCGTTTTTCGGAGGTGCAACTTCTATAATTCAATCGTCAACTTTAATTCTAACATGAATTTAAATGACATTTAATGATATGTTCAAACTATAATAATAAGTCTTTGGCATTAACAAAGGTCCATAGCTGAAAAGATTGGCAGGTCTTTTAACAACCAGCCATTACACACTAAGCAAAGCAAATGCAAAATGAAAACAGAATGTTGACATCACAGACGAGAAGCAACAATCTCCTGGAAAATGAAGGGACATCTTTAAAAAGTGGTTTTAATTAGGAGGTGCAAC